ATTGTTTACTCTCCCGATGATGCAAGTAAGCCTTTAGCTTCAACTTCAATTCGCCGGCTCCTTCTCACAGAGCGATGTCGCAGTTATGCATGAGCCACTTCTTCCTTCTGCTAAGATTGGTCTTCTTCTCCCACTCGAAAACCATCGAAGCTGCTCAGGTGTCTTCGCTTGGACGATGACGTCTCCTCCCTCAACTTCGTTCGTCATAGGCAAGACTTCTCTTCTTCTGTTGTCGCTGCTTTTTCTTCTCCTTATGTCACTACTTCTTCTTCTCTCGCTCTCTATTCTGTTACATTCAATTCAAAAGAGACATTTGACTCTTATGAAGAACTATAAGAGAAGAATGCTTCCCTTTGAAACAAGCCAAGCAAAATTTTATTAATATTTATTTATTTTTAAACACAATTATTACAATTTTCCCTTCTTATAAATTTTCTTCCTTGAAAATTATGAACTTTACATCAGCTAATTATTACGTAGATGGAACATAAAATGATAACAGAAGTCTATTTATGGTTAAGAGATAACAAAAGCATATATGATAAATCCAATATTTGAGATAATGTTATTCAATTAAATAATCCCCAAACATTTGAATTAGAATAGCATAACTAACATAACACTCGACTTCGTAAATGAAAGTACAGGTGATACTCAATAGCAGATAACTAACATGATCCCCTAATGAAAAATCACCCATCAAACTAGAATCAACGTCAATAGCAACAGGCTTTTCATATTCCTGATGAGTCAAGGAATAAACTCCTGGTCGGATGTTCTACCTTGGTTGCTCCTTATGAGTCACAATACCAGTTTATGTCATTCTCTGATGAATTCTGAAAGTAGATCCCTTCTAAAAACTCTTCTATGTTGAATCGCTTCCTGAGATAGCATTTGATGTGAATCTCTGAGCATAATTATTACAATTCCTCATCTGATGTCCAGGCTATCTGCATAAATAACACACCTTCAAACCAAATAGACATTCACCATAGTGCAGCGCCCCACACTTGGCATAGAACTCTGAAGTGCTATTGTCAACCTGGTTATTTACTCCAACATATGCCTTTATCTTCTTCCCATTAGATTCTCTAGAATAAATTTTTGGTTTCACATCTTTTAAGTTTTTCCTCTTATGTATGTCCTTACGCATTTGAGTATGCTGAAAATCAATTTTCATCTGCTTAGTCCTCTACATCAAAACTGAATAATCGTCAATCTCAAGTGGCACTAGTGGGTGGCTAATTTAATCCTTCAGCCCAAACAAAAACCTATGACACTTATCCCCAACATTTGAAACCAACTAGGGTGCATACCTTGAAAGCATAGTGACTTCAACTTCATATTGCATAATTGACCAATCTCTTTGCACCGGTCTGATAAATTTATCTTCCATTTGCCTTCTAGTTAAAAATGGTACGAAACAACTCTAAATGTGTTCACGAACTCATCTGGTGTATCAAGTGGCCGATTTTTTGTCCAAACTTCTGTAATTGTCCTTGCCAGGATCTCTCAACTTCTCCTTTAAAGGAAAAAGTGGCAAGTGTTTCCCTCCTCTTTGGTGGATAAGACAAACCCTCCAGAATTTTTTTCACTCTCAGCACCCAGTTCTTAACCTCTAGTAGCCTCATATCCTAAAAGAGCTTCAAGTATTTATCCATCGGTGCTCCTTCACTAGAACTGACCTAAGATGAGAATTCCTAATCATCTGAGTCATTGTAGTCATCATCTCAGTAAAAGCATCAACATTGACAATAATATTCCGGGGTATATCAAATTCTACATTATCATCCTTGACATCTTCCTCCCGATCATCCATATTTCTAAAATAATAGCAGAATAATTTAATTAGATTTAAATAAAATTTTAATTTCTATTATTTAAAACTTAGTTCAATCATCATAATAACTCTTTCATTAAGACTCGTGTTTTTTAATCAAAACCTTCATCTAATATCACTTTTGTCACAATTTGGCCTGTGGCTTGAAATTAACCGAGGGAATAAATACACGGATGGTGTAATTAAGCTTTTTTATATTTCTAATTCTATCACTAACCCTTTAATAAAAATAATTAATTGAAAGAGCCGCTAAATGAAGTATTTTAATTAACAAATAAAAGATGCATTTTTGGTTGTTGACCTCTTATTCTATTAAAGGTGTGCATTATTTGGTTTAGACCAAAAAACTAAACTGAATTAAGTCAATTTGGTTTATTTGGTTTAGTTTAAAAAAAGTTTGGGTTATGGTTTTGAAAATATTAAAGTTTGATTTTCGGTTTACAGTACGGTTTTGCTTAGTAATCTGAATTAATCGAAAACCAAATTTACTAGGTAAATCTTCTTTGAAATGTTCATAAATAAACTTTCTAGTGAGCAACGTTACATAATCCTCTCTTAGTAATTTTCATTTTCTCTCTTTATCATCATATTCTTATACCATCAAACTATATTTTGATTTATGTAAAATCGAACATTTTAAACTAAATTAAACTTCGGCTTGACTGGCTCGTTTTTATTAATTGTTTGGTTTAGTAGTTTGGATTTTCAATTTCGATTGAAATCAGTTTGCCCAATTTAAAAATCGAGCATCCGAACTGACAAAATGCTCACCACTATATTCTATACACGTTAGCTCCTTTAATATTGATCTTATTAAAATCTTAAACTTGAAAAAAATATTAAAACATAATGAGTTATCTAAAATAATCAAGGAGAAATCACACTTCTAAATTACAGTAACCCAAAGAAAAAATAATAATAAGCATGTTGATTTTTCATATTTCTGTAAAAATCTTATAATAATCTAATGTATATACCCATGACATTTACTTATTAAAATAAACTTATACTTTGATATGCATTAACTTTAAATGTATTATTCAAGATTTAATCTTTAACTTTACTTTTATTTCATGCTATTAGCATTCACATTTTTCTTAGGAGCACCATCAAAACATAAACTAGCATACTCTTGACCAATATTATCCCATCACCAAACCAGTTCGTGATCTAATTTCCACGATTGTATGAGACAGACAAATGTATTTGCCTCTGGCCGATATTCATCCTTTGGCATAGTGGTTAGTGATCTAAACATCACAATTGTCTGGGGTAGTAAAATATCATCTACGTTCGCGGGTATATTGGCATCCCCAGCTGGTACCAAAAGGAACTCATTTTTCATACACATACAAGCATCCCTATATACAATATTTTATTTCATCATTCAAGGCATACATTACTTTCATGTGAGACTTGCATCTAAGGTCATTATATAACATAATAAATGCACCTTTACTATGATTCTAAAAGTTGAATAATAATCTTACATAAACATCTAGCCATGCAATAAGCTAACATATATAACTCTACTAAAATATAAATATCAGGTATTAATCCGATATCTTTCTAACTAAACTATTACGAAACTATTAAGACAATAGTATTTAACATGCATGCATCATAGCTAATAATATGAAGAACCAAATGTTATTTAATTTCATTGATATAAGACATAATAGTGAAAAATTATGAGCAGAAATATATTTAAAAGCAAAAATATTACTATGACTTAAAAATATAATCGCTCGCTTTAACTCTAAAAGATTTTCTTATTCTCGACTTATGTCGCCTCCTTCAAGTTAACACCTATAATATTAAATATTGCATTTAATAAATTTAAATATATGATTCATTTTCATTCAAATTAAGAATTAAATAATAATCCTTAATATTGGGTTTGAGATTTCATACATAAGCTAAATAAAAAATGCATTTTCACCTTTATTTCCTTATTGTCTTACTATTTCTCACATTTGGCTCTCATAGATGCTTGATCTACCATCCAAAGTTTGCGGAAAAGATTTCTATATGAATTATTCTTGGCAATGGGAGTTTAGAAGGTTTGGTCAAGTACTTCACGCACACAAGAAAGTTTTTATGGCCCGCCTCCTGCTCCTAGACCTCGAAAATGCTCGGCGTAGAGTCTCTGCACGCAATAACTCCTCCTTAACCCTATCATGCTTTTCCAAAGCACAAAAAAAGCCTCCTCCATTTTCTTCTCCTTCTTCTCCTTTGGCTAAAGCATTGGCTTCCCTCTCCTATCAGAAGCCGCTCAATAAGTCTCTTCTCCCGAAGGCAGACGATGACGCAACTAAGCCTTTTGGCTTTGGCTTCGGCTTCTTACCGATGCACGAGCCACTCCTTCCTTCTGCTAGGGTTGGTCTTCTCCCACTTGGAAACAGTGAAAGCTGCTTCGTCGTCTTCGCCTGGACAATGACTTCTCCTCCCTCAACTTCGTTCCTCACAGACAAGCCCTTTTCTTCTTCTATTGTTGCTTCTTCTTCTCCTGCTTATCTCTCTCTCTAATTTGTTTCGTTTGATTTAAAAGAGACGCACGACGCTTAAGAAGAGGAAATTGTCGGAGACGGATGCTTCCCTTCGAAACGACACAAGCAAAATTTTATTAATATTATTATTATTATTTATTTTTTAAACACACTTATTACACCCTAAGGGTCGGATCATGGATTTCCCACAATGCAAGCCCAATCCCAAATTCATCAAATAAAAAAAAATTTAAGATACACCAACCAGAAGATATGATTAATCACTCATAAGATATAATTCATATATGAGACTGGTCATAAGATAAAATCTATTTTTAATCAATATGCGACACTGATAAGATAAAACCCCTTAAAATATACCGAGTTCGACACTTATTTGTCATTTCTAGTTTTGTTTGCACAATAATTCTGCACAAGAAAGTAACCTGGGTGACTCTCCAGTAAGCAGGGGACGCATTTAAAGACTTTCTATTAAGAGACTTCATTGTAGTCTAGAAACACAAAAGTTATGAAGATATATATGCAATACTGCATAAAAGAGGTAATCCCGTAAATACAATTTGAAATTGTATGGTTAATAAAATCAAAAGGTAAACGAGGAAAAAATAGATAAAAATCTCTACAGAAGTAAAATGTTATGATGAAATTACCTCTTTCCATTGCAAGAAGATATTGATGAACTATCCTGATCCTACTGTTTAGCATTTTGATGGCACTATGTATACCAGTAAGGTGGGCCGCCACTGTTCAAAGAGAACTTGTAACTTCAGTATCGTTTTCTCTCAATAAAATAATACCCTAAAGAGCAATAATCTTAGATATATAGCATATATATTAGAGCAGTAATGCCAGGTCTAATGAAAAAGCTCACGTTGCGTAGCAGCAGAGCCTCCATCAGATGGTTTGAGGTGAGCTACATGATCAACTGAAATTCGTTCCGCCTCTACAGTCTTAAAGAAGTAAGACAAACCATAATAATTACAGTCACATTAAACCTGATTACCAATTAGTGAATTTAATTAAAAAAAAATACCTCAATGACATAATTTGATCGCACAAAGATCAGCTGAGGAATACCATCAATGACATGCAGTTCTTTGAGAAGAAAAGCCAAAATAAAGGGATGTTAGTTAATAGCAGGAAGTATTACTCTAAAAGTTGTGAATTTCAGCCAATGTTAAATATAAAATAGGTGGCAATTACAATAGAATCAAAAAAACCAAAGTATTGAAAATGAATGGCAAAGCTAGTGAATAATTCAATAGTCTAGGTACATACAAATCAATATAGGGTGGCAGCACAGATCTCATCCATGGTAAGAATGACATGCTAGTACATGAAAGAAAGTCGTAATGTACTAAAAGAACCTATTTCATGGTGTTTAGTCCAATATACATATTTAATACTACAACACTAGTAGTTCATACAGCTGGATTCATTTTTTAGTACTCTTATCTCTACTTTTCTTCTCATTAAAAGGTCGAACTTATCCATGGAAACTCCTTTAGTTGTAACCTACAAAAGATGCAATTCAAAACATCATTAAAAAGAAGGCACCAAAAGTAGAAGTACACTTTTGTATAAGAGCACAAAATCCTATTGTCTAGTTTCTTGTGCCCTGGATTTATGCTGACATACGGCTAGTAGTTCATACAGCTGGATTCATTTTTTAGTACTCTTATCTCTACTTTTCTTCTCATTAAAAGGTCGAACTTATCCATGGAAACTCCTTTAGTTGTAACCTACAAAAGATGCAATTCAAAACATCATTAAAAAGAAGGCACCAAAAGTAGAAGTACACTTTTGTATAAGAGCACAAAATCCTATTGTCTAGTTTCTTGTGCCCTGGACTTATGCTGACATACGGCTAGTAGTTCATACAGCTGGATTCATTTTTTAGTACTCTTATCTCTACTTTTCTTCTCATTAAAAGGTCGAACTTATCCATGGAAACTCCTTTAGTTGTAACCTACAAAAGATGCAATTCAAAACATCATTAAAAAGAAGGCACCAAAAGTAGAAGTACACTTTTGTATAAGAGCACAAAATCCTATTGTCTAGTTTCTTGTGCCCTGGACTTATGCTGACATACGGCTAGTAGTTCATACAGCTGGATTCATTTTTTAGTACTCTTATCTCTACTTTTCTTCTCATTAAAAGGTCGAACTTATCCATGGAAACTCCTTTAGTTGTAACCTACAAAAGATGCAATTCAAAACATCATTAAGAAGGCACCAAAAGTAGAAGCACACTTTTGTATAAGAGCACAAAATCCTATTGTCTAGTTTCTTGTGCCCTGGACTTATGCTGACATACGGCTAGTAGTTCATACAGCTGGATTCATTTTTTAGTACTCTTATCTCTACTTTTCTTCTCATTAAAAGGTCGAACTTATCCATGGAAACTCCTTTAGTTGTAACCTACAAAAGATGCAATTCAAAACATCATTAAGAAGGCACCAAAAGTAGAAGCACACTTTTGTATAAGAGCACAAAATCCTATTGTCTAGTTTCTTGTGCCCTGGACTTAAGCTGACATACGGCCCACCCTTTCCCATTGAGCCACATCAATTTCGGGCATGAAGCATTACTTGAAAAATTTTGTTCGAGGGGCCTTTTTTTATATATATGAAATAGCTAGATAACATTTTGGAAGTGCAAAAAAGCACAAATTCTATTAGTATTTAAAAACAAATGAAGAATGACAGGACATGATAAAAGCTCTTGAACAATAAAGGTAGCCAATTGTTTTGCATTCACATTACTGTAAAAGAAAAACAAGAATGCAAAATAATGCGCTATTTGCATGTGCTACTATTTTTTTTTAAAAAACTCATTTCATATAGAAACTTAATATTTTTAATAATAATAAAACTTTTTAATTTTACTGTTGCATTAATAAAACTGAGGTTGAAGAAGCTTTAAAGAAAATTAAGTGTGGAAAATCAGTAAAACCTGATGGTGGTATTCCAATAAAAGTGTGGAAATATTAAGGAGATTTAGAAATTTTTTGGCTTATTAAACTTTTTAATATTATTTTAAAAACTAAAAAGATGTCTCAGTGGAAGATAAGTATTTTGGTCCCTATTTTGAAGAATAAAGGGAATGCACAAGTGTGCGCAAATTATAGAGAAATTAAGTTAATTTGTCATACATTAAAACTATGGGAACAATTGAAAATAGATTAAGACATGATACAAAGATTTCTCAAAATCAATTTGGATTTATGTCAGGCAAGTCTAAAATAGAAGCTATAAATTTATTATGAGGTTTGATGGAGAAATACGGAGTAAGGAGGATCAACATATGATTTTGTTGAATTGGAAAAAGCTTATGATAAAATTTGAAGAGAAGTGCTTTGGAGAGTTTTAAAAAAAGAAATGTGTTCATACGACTTATATTCAAGTAATTAAAAATATGTATATTACAGTTGTTATGCTCGAACAGGAAGAGGATTGAACAAGTATTTTCTTATTTCAGTTGGATTACATACAGGGCATTAAGCCCATATCTTTTTTCTTTAGTTATGGAGCTCTTACTAGACATTTACAGAATGATGCACCTGAGTGTATGCTTTCACTGATCATATCCTTCTAGAGAGAGTTTAGAAAAATTTTAAATTATAGAGATCAACTTTAAAGTGTAAATGCTTTTGTTTGAGTGGATCTAAAATTAAATACAAAAAATTTAATTTTAGTACTAGTAGATCTAGTGGTTGGGTTGTAACAATGGATGATCAAGCAATTAAAAAGAGTGAACGTTTTAAATATCTAGGGCCTAATGTTCAAAGTGATGACGATATAGATAGAGATGTTCTCAGTTGAATTTAAGTTGGATGGTTAAAGTGGAGAAATGCATTGGGACTATTGTGTGATAGAAAAGTACTTCTTAGACCTAAAGGACAATTTTATAAGATGGTGGTTGGACCTGCAACACTTTATGGCAAAGAATGTTAGCCTATAAAAGAGAATCATAAAACTAAGTTAAGTGTTGCTGGAATGAGAATGCTTGGGTTGATTAGTGGTTTTAAACTTAGAGACAAAATGCAAAATGAATATATCTTTGAAAGGGTTGGTGTAGTTCCAATAGTAGACAAGACTAGAGGGTCATCTAAGATGATTTGGTTACACTCATCGTCGACCATCTGATGACCTAGTTAGAAGAATAGATGTTTTAAATTTCACTTAGGTTAAGAGAGGTAGAGGTAGACTTAAAAAGACTTGGGCATGTTACAAAAAATATGAGCTTACTTTTTATTATTAAATGAAAATATGACACTAAATAGGAAACAATTGAGAAAAAGGATTCATGTAGCCGAACCCACTTAAAGGGATAATGGCTTGTTGTTGTTGTTGTTGTTGTTGTTGTTGTATTTCATATAGAGACAGAAAAAAATAATAGTTGTATTTTTATAAACTTGGATATGTTTCTGCATGAATGTGTAAGACAATAATTACATGCACATTCATAAGTATGTTTGTAGAAATATATTTGATTTGCTAATCTCACCATAAATGTGCGTATATTTCAAGAATTGCATCTCTATATTTGTATCACCCTAATCCCTTTAAAAACATGCACAAATAATTTTGTTGTTGAAATTAGACTTATCTCAACTACTCAAGGCCAACCTTATAAATCATTCTCAAAAAGTATGCCAAAATGTAAACCAGGGTGCAACAAGTGTAGCAAGTGTAAGAAACCCAAAAAAAACATGGCCCGAACATGAAAATATGACCCGAACATGTATAAGTATACCAAACCCAAAAAGTATACTCCCAAAAATTAAAAAAGCCACAATAAACCAGAGTACAGCAAGTGTAAGAAACCGAGGGCAAGATTTATCTTTAGCCTTTAAAACACGTTGCATCCAGAAGAGCCTACAGTTTAAAACCAGAGCATTTAGCCTGAAATGTAATAAATAGTAGTTCAAGTCAAGTAAAAAGTATGTATAATCCCCAAAATGTACTCCCTGCAAGAAAACATAAAGATGCACCAAAGTGGAGTATGCCAACAATGAACTTCCTGCCATATCTAAATCCTACATTAGTAGAACTTGCAGGTAGCAAAAGAAACAGTCCCCCTTCTCATGCAAAAGAAACAAAATAGCAGTGAGAGGAGAGCACCGAGCAATAAAAACGCAATAAAAACCAAAATCCAAACCATTATATAGACTTTCCAAATCTTGCAGAAAAAGATCTTTATCACACAAAAGAGACCATACAGGAAACAGTTTTATAAGACAAATATTGTAAGGCATAGCAACCATAAGCAGAAAGTAAAATGGGGCATAACTTCCCAACATAAAAGGCATAGCAATGTAAGGCATCCCATAATGCCAGAAACAGCTAAATACCTGACCAACAAAATATTCTGGGTCACCAAATGTCAAGGAAGAGCTCATGATAAGAAATAAAACACTCAGAGAAACAACACAAAAGACGCCGAAAATCATAGCAGGAAAAATCTAGGCACTAATGCAAGGAGCCTCCAGCAAATCTCCTTGGATAAGAGTGTAAAGAAAAGGAGGTATATCACCAATGTGAATGCCATCAAACTTCTTTTTAGCTAACCAATCCGCAGGAGTGTTTCCTTCCCTAAGAATGAAACTATATTGTATATTAAGATAATTTATTTCTATAAAAGTCAGTATACGCTTCAGTAAAGTAATGAAGTGTCACACAGGTTCATCACCAACTTAAGATATTAAAAAGCTATTATGAATCTGTTTCCAAAACCACCATGTTAATATGACAAGAAACAATAACTTGCAGAGCTGCAAACACAGCCCAAGCTTCTGCTTCAAGAGGGGAAGAAGCAATACAAGGGGAGGCAAAGTAAAGAATGCACCTCCCATTAATATCTCGAAACAAACCGCCCACTCTAGCAGCATTAGGTGTAAAACTACCATCAATATTTGTTTTTATCCAACCTTGAGAGGGTGGTTTCCAACTAATTAAAGTTGGTGTCCTACCACTCCCATGTATAAGAGAAGTATCAGATGCATTCACAGCTCTCAAAGTTTTAAGATAGTTGGCCAAAATAAGTGAGACAGTAATAATGAGATTGGGATGAGAAACATCATATTTATGGCTA